ACATGTTACCACAGCGTCCCTTCTGTATGCCTTGGTAATCTAGTGGATGGAGCGTCGGCAGTTCAATCCTTTAGTCGTGAGGTAAAAAAAGACGTTAAAGGAAGGTACTTATTGCTACCCTGCCTGGCGCTCGGCTTAAAGGGGATAAGATAAAACAAGGACAGGCTGCCTCGAAGTCATTATACTGTATCGTAGAGGGGTATCCATGTCAAACTGCGGCATGGCGTCTCAGTGGTCTATAAACCCGGAAAATGTCCGGAGTTGTACAAGCAGCCACACATACATGTGAATGAACGCCGTTATATACGTGCAAGAACCCCATTTCACCTCAAGTAGTTCGATCCGAGAAGATCCGGGGCAGAATAGGTCTTCAGCAACCCATGCTTGCCGTAAGAGGCGTCCAACAGGATCGGGTGGTCAGACTCGCTGACTTGGTTGATGCATGTCATCGTATCCCAAATGCGTGGATCGTTGCTCATAATGTCAATCACTAGATTGTCTGGTCCAGACTCGATTTTTACAGGCCGTCGTCATTTAACTGGCATATTGCTGAATGCAGCGTTAAATTACAAACAAGCAAAACAAAACCACGTATGCCCATGACGTGTTACTTAACAACGTCAACTGATGTTAATTGGTAAACAACCCAAATTGACGTAACATTTAGTTAACCTATTGCTCACAGTATTCTAAGGAACCATTATCCAAAAACCGTTGTATTCAACTTCCTCAAGTTATTCTCATGAAGATAAACGTTCAATGCGACCCTGGAAAATAATCAATGACTTCCTATATTAGGACTTTGAAGACACATATTGATCTCTGTACCCAAGGGGCCATCAACCGCACAATAGCTGTTTGTCACAGATGGTATTCACTAGGCGATCTCGGAATAAGATTGTGTAGGAGGTAACTAATTACTGTAACAGGGTGCAACCGTACGGAAGTACAGGCGATATGACCTTAACGATCTAATGACACATAGTTCTCTGCCGGTTTTACTGAGTATGAAAAGACGCAATCCACCTTGACTTATTTCACACGGCTTTCAATCAATGATTTGATCTATCCCCTCCTATTTATTTTACTATACCCGTGAAGATCCGGGGTAGAATAGGTCTTCAGCAACCGATGCTTGCCGTGAGAGGCGACTTTGCTTGTCGTAAGAGGCGACTAACGGGATCGGGTGGTCAGGATCGCTGACTTGGTTGATGCATGTCATCGTATCCCAATTGCGTGGATCGATGTTCATGATGTCAGTCACTGGATTGTCTGGTCCAGACTTGATTACTTACAAACCGCCGGCATATATCTGGAATATTGCTGAGTGCGGCGTTAAACAAACAAACAAACAAACTTATTTAAAACTGTAATGTTGGCAACATTTTTGGAAATCATACTATGTGGCTCTTGAGAAGGTAGACAAAAATTATTTATTTTTAACTGAACAAATAACACATCTGAAAGTCAAGTTCATTTCCCGGTCTGTTTGTGCGTCGTCCACATCTTCTCAGAAACCACGTGGTTAATGACCATGCTTGTTGCCACCAATGATAACACTGACGTTCAAGAGGAATCCGAATTTCAACATTTCACATCAGCCGTTTTGAAAAACCTATGTACGGCCATGACATTTGAGATATCTTTAGTTAGTACTAGGACTCAACATATATGTTTTTTAACAATATTGTAAAGTCTGACCGTGTTATGATCATGTTCTTAAATTCTCCCAAAATGTGTCTTTGGCTCAGAAAAGTTTCCTCTGCATGTGATGTGTATAAGCAACTGTGGTCATTGTATTGTTAATCATATTGTTGTGTTTTTGAAAAACACTCCTCTCCATTTATTTGAAGAATTAAAGTATACTAGTATGAAGCATAATTTTAAGAAGATGGGGCCATAAGGCTGGACGTGTATTCTTGGAGGTGAGTAGCGAGTATTGTACGAACGCTTCAAACAATTCTACATTCAGATACCGGCCTTTCTCCCAAACAGCACTGAAAGAGAGCTGAGTGAGTGAGTTAGGTTTTACGCCGCTTTTAGCAATATTCCAGCAATATCACGGCGGGGGACACCAGAAATGGGCTTCACACATTGTACCCATGTCGGGAATCGAACCCGGGTCTTCAGCGTGACGAGCGAAGGCTTTAACCACTAAGCTACCCGACCGCCCCGAAAGAAAGCTGATGTGACCCCGGTTATTGGATCTTGGTAATTAACCAATACAGGCAGGAAGGACTTCCCCCTTTAAGAGGAACAACGTATTTTGACGATAATTTATAAAAGCAATTCTAATTTGGTTTTTTTTTAAAGTGTTATTAAGCTCATACGACTGTATTGATTGTCAACAGGATTTTATAAAAGTTTAACATTTTTATCGAGTGATGATATATTTTCATAGACACAAGGGTGAGATTCTTGATATCATTCAAAACCAATTCGACGTTTTTTTCAGTTTGTTAACAAGAATCACCAGTGTCTTTAGTATAGGCAGTTCAGCTGACAGCTTCAATTGCTGAAGAACAGTTATGTCATTTTGATTGTGACGCCATGGAAACCGATGACATCGCAATGGCCTGCAAACGCTCTGTGGTGCAATTTCATCGGAGTAATATCCCCCGAGGAGGCATGACGTAATCTCACCATAGCGATATCGCATGAGGAGGCCAGTTTTGGAGGATATAAAATAATTTCTTTCTGGGGTCGCGTGTGTGTTCACATTTCTTCTGCCTGGAGAGAAAACTTCCGGCAAGACAAGAACCTTGGCTATTATTGTCACGTCACATGTACCAGTGAACGATAATGTTCATTTGGAACTATTCATACGTTAACTGCTCAGAACAATTGGTTGTTGTTCGTCCACGGAAGTGGGGAAGACTATTATTTTCAATGGTTCAGTCTTTATGTCGAAATATAATGTAAAAGGGAATATGGAAACTATACACATGGAAAGATGTATGCAGGCTTACGATAGGGGAAATATGAACTAAACGTTTTTTTTATCGTGTCATATATTGCTTTTCCGATGAAACACATATAATTTTGTTCACAAGGGGAAATACACATTAAATATAAATACAGTAAAAGAAATCGTTTTCCTTATGATACAAGGAGTGAGGGATTGAGAATGGTTTACCCCCCCCCCCCCCCCCCCCCCCCCCCTAATGAAAAACATGTGTTGCTGAAGACCGGATCCTTTCACAAGGGAAAACCACTTTTCAAGCAGATATATCCCCCTCCCTTACCATAATATTAAATGGTGGGACCATGGGTTTGATACACATTCACATGCAATGGCTTATGCTCTGCAGTATTGTTGAACGTGACAGAAGGTGCACTATACACTACATATGCGTCTTATGGGAGCATTGTCTCACTGCTATTTCGTGATAAGCACATTTTTTGGAAAATGCCATGTCTGAACACGAAGAATTATATTGAACGTGTTCATTCGAATCCCCAAGTTTGACATATGCGGACAAGGGATGTAAATGATCTCGACGCTAAACCTCGCGTGTCCGTGTGTAGCAGATACAAAATATGTTGGGCAAGATTCAGAGTTAACATTTGAATACCGTGCAGATAAACAGATGGGTCAACAAACGGCTGAGAAACATCGGTCATTAAAACATCTGTTAAAGATCAGTTTAATAAACTGAACAGCTAGACTGATCAAGCAATAGAATGTATCTATTATTAAACGTAGTATAAGTCATGCTTTACGTCATTTACTAGGGGAATATCATGCGTGCATGATGATATACCATTGGTGGGAATTCCAAAGCGACCCTAGGCGAAGACTGCATCGTCTTACATCGAGACAACTAGGGTATAACTTCAGTGACTATAGCATGCCTGGATACCATAGACTATTGTCCATACAAAGTTGCCCCAATTATGTGCCATTGCTATTCAGTGTATAAGTCTACACACACCCGTTCAACTTCTTTAACCGGCGTTGTGTGTACACGCTATTCACGATATTATAAACCCATGAATTGAAAGAATCACACAGCACACAACTACTTGAAGGCGTCCTGTAAAAAATCATGTCTGGACGAGACACTTCAGTAACTAAAATCCCCGTCGTCGTATCACAGGCAATCATCGATCATCTACAGCGTAATATTTGTTCAAAGACTGTTGTTGGTGATTGCGTTATCGGATCGACAGCCCACTTGAAACATTGGACTCAACCCATACCCCTTCA